CGAGGGAGTCCCTTAACTGATTAAGCAGCAATGGGATTTCATAGACTATGCAAATGACACTGCTGAGAATCACACATTATGGAGTTTATCAGCCCTTAGCCAGGATGTCTTTGATGAAGGATGGAACCCAGGAAATAATGCAATGTCAGATGGCAACCATCTGACAGAGAATCATAGGCAAACCTGGTTAGGTCTTGAGGACAAGAGCCAAACCACACTCATATTGGCATTCCCTTGGGAGCCTAACTCTGCACCTTGCATACAGCAGTTACTGCATAAGTGACTTGTCTCTGCAGGCTCCTGAGGAATTCTTCTCTGCCTTTGGTTAGGTTACATGTCCCCAGTCATAGCACTCCAGGCTTCCCTCCAACATGCCAATTAACCCCTGTATTGTCGTCATTTGTAAATGTGTCTTCTGTTGTCTGCCATCTTCTTGAGGAGAAGGACCATGACAGTCTTGATCACATTCCCACTCAGCCAGTACTAGGCTGAGTGCTCCAGGGAAGAATGGAAGCATGAGTGAACGAATCAATGACTGTATGGTGGGATGAGCAAGGTCTCATTAGAGTCCAACCCTGTTCTTCCTATGGACAGCCATAGTCTCATTTCCCTGTTCACGCCTGCCTTCTCCTACATAACACATGTGAATCCTTTTGTTGTTTGAGGATTGGTACCAATTTGTTCAGAAGGCTTTTCAGAGATGTTTTTGGGGGTTTCATCTGAATATCCTCACCTGTTTACGTGAAGGAAGTAAGATGGTGATTCTCAGCCCTAACACACATTTAGGGCAGCTTGTCTTCCTCCTTTACCCCACTTTCCAGAGGCAAATGGCACTTTTTGTAACACACATGGCTAAAGGCTGAAAATTCAGATGGGAGATTCTAGAACCTTCTTCCACCTCAATATAATGAGGTGGCATGCAGGCATGTCATGTGTGTGCACATGTACATGTGTGCACACGTGTGTGTACATGTGTGTGTACGTGTGTTATGTGCCATCCTCTTGCATGTGTGTGCCCACAGACACAGAGATCTGTGTGCCATGGGAAATTTTATCCCAAAGGACAGGCTCCTTTAAAGGATATTTGTTGTTTAAGAATAATTTCTTTAAAAATAAAGATGCAAAAAATCCTGAAATAATAAAAAATCTTGATTTGGGGAGAAAGTTGATTTTAAAAAAGATGAGAAAAAAATCTTCCTGAGAAAGAAAATATAAGACTTTGAAATAACTCTGTTACTTGAGTGGGGGGAAAGCCAGCCTGTTTTATTAGGTTGTTTTATTCAAAGTTTTTGGTATTCTACCATTTTAAACCTATGGAAAAAAACAGCAATTTCATTTGGAATAACCTAAAATAAAATCTGGGAAGTTATTTTTTAGGTGGATTCAGAATGAGAACCAACTATTGAACAGATAGAGCAAAATAAGTCAATACTGAGTTTTGAGAAAGGGAATAAATTTGTATGCTTTCATACCCAAAGTTGTAGCCTCATCATTTTGCTGTCTCTCACTGTTCTGAAGAAGTAAACTTAGCACTAGGTGTCGTTTGATTTGCTAAATGAACTCTGAAATGTCATGACTAATGAGCCTTTTAGATTTGGAATGCACAGTCTCCTCGGTAGTTCCAACACGAATGCTTCCTGCCAGACGTTTTCAGGTTTTCCAGCTGTTTGCTTAGCTGATTTCTCCATTTTCTCTGACAGTGGATAAGTTTTTAACACACATTATTTGACCCAACAAATGAATATAGCTTTAAGGTAGCACTTTCTAATTCTATTTTCTACTCAGCACTTTCTACTTCTGTTCACAAGGTTGCTTTCGAAGGAGGGATTGATTTTTGACAAACTTGGCCTGGCAGTATTGCCCTTAACTAAGACTCACCTCAGAACCCAAACACACCCACTAATATAATCTCTGGTAACCACACCAACAGAGCCAGCACTCTAAGACAAGGAGCTATATGTGGTAACAAGCATAGCTTTGAACTTGAAATCCCCTGCCAGTGACCAGACTGGATGAGGCATGCATTCAATTACCAGCCTTAACTGGTGGGTGGTACCAACTGTGTTCATTTCTTATACCTTCCAAAAGACAAACTGAATTCATCATTTAAATTCACCAATACAGAGAATGACATAACTCCAAATCTAATTTTAAAAACCACCAAATTCAAAAATGAGGAACAGTCTCAAAATATCTAATATGTAATTTTCAAAGAACACAACTTAAGATTTTATTATGCACTAAAACTTTTCTGCTTCACTTAACAGCTCAGCACCAGTAAAAATTCCAGCATGCAGTAATAAGGTACTGTTATTACCTTATTACTGTAAGGAAGCAAATGGAGGGTCTAAGTGATTAAGGAATTTGAACAATGTCACACAGTTAAACAAATGCTGTGACTATGATTGCCTACCTAGGTCATTCCAGTGTAAGACTCTACCTGCAGCAGGATGACCAGTATGAGCTCCTTTGTGTGACCTGAAGGTAAATATTTTCAACTGAAATATCAAAAATTCCCTCAGGCTAGGCATGGTAGCACATGCCTGTAATCACAGCTATGTGGAACGTGTAGGTAGGAGGATCAGATCTCAGATGAGACCAGGCAAAAAGTGAGATGTTATCTGAAAATTATAGCAAAAACGGATAGAGATGTGGCTCGAGTGGTAGAACTCCTGCAGTAAATTCGGATGGCTCAATGAAACCAGGACTCAGAAACTAAGAAGCTACTGCAACTTCAGTCACTCATTCTTCAGCTATCTATTGAGACTGGTAAGTGGGAAGAGATCAGATCACAGATGCTGAGAGCCCTGGGTTTAAATTTAGGCTTCTCTCCTCCTTGCTCTATAAATGTGAACACGCCATCTGATGTTTCCAAGTGTCCATTTCTCCAAAATGGGAGAAACCATGGCATGCCATCTCATGGAGTAGAGGTACTGAGGACAGGGAAGGACCCAGGTAAAATGCTCCAAGATTTGGTAGCTATGATTACTGTGGTTATTGTTATTTTACTCCCTCCACCAATATCACTGCTGGGGACCTCACTGCATCAAGGGGATTCTTTGCTCTGCTGCTTCTTGGAAAAGGAAGGACTTGCAGGATGTAGGTCTAGTGGCCAACACGTAACCCCCTGCTCACTGGATTCCACCCAGCACTTTCCCTGTAGGAACTGGCTTCTTCCAAGGGGCGTGGCTGGGAGGAGTGAGAACAAAGCTTCACAAGTATGTGCATTGTAAAAACCCAGTCTCCTTGGGCTCCTGTATAAATAGCTGAGCCTGCCTTGCCCTCAGCTGAGAGGACCTGAAGGCTGCACTCACCCCCACATCTGGGATTGCCCTGAATCTGCACACTCACCACAAGGTAAGAGCCTGGCTCCACCAGACCTTCCCTTCCCTCCCCCAGTTCTCCCTCTACTTGAGGCCCTGGTGTTCCTTGGGTCTGAGTCCCCTGGTGGACAAGTGAGAGCTGGCTTATCTGGCCTCCTGTCCCACCCTTCATCACCTTAGCCCAAACTCCTGTGACTGCCTTTTCTTTTCCAGTCCCAGCAGTGGGCAAACTCCTGGGTAGAAATTAGATCACAGCCACCTCCTGACCCTTCCCTTTGTTTCCAAACACAATTCTATGTAGTTTTTAAAAACAGAGCACAGATTATATGAATTATCTTGTCACTGCGATCTGTGACAAAGCAAACCTTGCCTAGTTCATAGATTTCTTATTTTTTTGCCAGTATTTTCTGAAGGACAGAGTAAAGGTGAAAAGCAAGAGACATGGTCTGACCTGCTGCACTGTTTGTCACTGTCGACTAAAGGATCTTGAGCAATTTACCTGCCTGAGCCTTAACTGTCACAGCTGCTACCTGGGGGTGTTATATTAATAGCTATGTAGCAGGGATTAAGCAAGGTGAGAATCAAATGCTGGACCAGTATTTAGCATATGATAGATGCCAACTAGTCATGGGTTTCTCTTCTCCCTTTAAATGTGTTTTTTTTTTTTTTTTTTGCTCATGCAATAAAACCCATGGAGTTTAGTGTGACATTGACAGTCATCCTATTGATTCAATGACTTTTTTTCAAAAAACTACTATTGAAGGGCGTTTTGAATGCCCAGCACTGCGCCACCAACAGGCATCTGGAACTCAACTAAGCATGATTGGTGTTTTCAGCCTTGCAATCTAAACTAGTTGAAACTGATTCTTCTCCACCCTGTTTCACTTTTCCCTGTCAAATTGGATGACCTCTCTGCCTTCTAGCCTTCCTGGGACTTGTCCTCCTGAAAAACATCCTACCTTAGAACCACACCCAAATCAGTGTGTCAAACCTAAGGCATGTTCAGTCTCTGAGTCAAGATGGCTTTTTATGACACTTCATGACTCTTACTACTTCCTTTCTCGTTTTGGGATCATGTGTGTGCGTGTAGGCTGGTGAGGTACAAACCCAGCACTCTGGAGGTAGAAGAGGGTTTGGTGATTATTTTATCCAACACCTTGATTTCCAGAGTGGGGAGAGTGACTTGTCCTAGATCAAATTGAGGTCAGAGATGGGGCAGATTGCCTGGTAAATCATATTTAAATCCCACAAAGGGTATTTCTAAGCTCTTTAATACCTCAGGCTTTCTCATTGACCGTGGGATGTTCAATAGCTAGGCTAGTACATGGTATACTATAGGTGCTCAATGCTTGCTGCATGAATGAATGCAGGATTGAGGGAATGAGCAAATGCAGGAGTGAGTGAGCAGAGGAGTTCATGTGGTTCAGAGACAGAAGGAAAGGATGACAAATGGCAGCCTGAGACTTTTGAAACTCAGATCAACTCAAGTCAAGTGGAAATAGGAGCAGAGAGGCTGCTTGGCTAGTGATGCTGGGAGCCAGACACACTCTTGGTCTTCTCCTAAAGCAGGCAGACATGTGTTGGGGCAGAGGGAGGCCAGCTGCAGCCCTATACTGCTGTATGCTACCTGCCTGATTTTCCTGCCTTTTGTCAAACAGGTGTTGCTCAGCTGAAACCATGAGGGTTCACAGCCTCAGTCTGCTCTCCGTCCTACTCCTGGCTGGTCAGGTGCTCTCAGAAAATGTCAAAAGTGGAGCAAAGAATGCACAGGGTAGCATTCCTGATGGAGATCCTTCAGTCCCTCAGGGCAGGCGCCAGAATAAGCAGAGAAGCAGGACATCCAAGTCCGTGACCAACGGCAAGTTTGTCACCAAAGACCAAGCCACCTGCAGGTGGGCTGTGACTGAGCAGGAGCTGGGCATCATGCTGAAGGTTGAGTGCACTGGCATGGACCAGGAGGTTTCTTGTGTCTTTGCTGGCGATCCAACTGGGTGCCTAAAGCACAACGAGGAGAGGGTCTACTGGAAACAAATTGCCCAGACCCTACGCAAACAGAAAAACATCTGTGGAAACTCCAAGAGCATCCTGAAGACCAGAGTGTGCAAAAAGAAGTTTCCAGAATCTAATCTCAAGCTAGTAAATACCATTCTACACGGAGACCTAAAGCCCAGGAAGGAGGAAGTAGAGCTCTCCCAAAGAGAGTCAACCAAGGTCAAAGAGGACAAAGATCCTAAGTGTGCAGAGGACCCAGAAGTGGTAAACCAGAGGAAAACTGCCCTGGAGTTCTGTGGGGAGTCCTGGAGCTCCTTCTGCACATTCTTCCTCACCATGTTTCAAGCTGCATCATGTTAAAGGTGGTCACAGAACAGTCCCACTGAGAGATGTCATGTCACAGGCGCCTCTGCACACTACAAAGCTCTCCAAGTTCCCCAAAGACATACGAACTTTTGTGCTATGGGAGTACAGTTAAATATTTAAATTTTATAATTTTTGTTTTTATGTTTAGAATTTGCTTTATATTCATGACTTTGGATGTGATTTTCAGAGGCTGTTTACCTCAGCATATGCTTCCACGGCCCACAAAGCTACATGCCTATGGGCGGTGCAGGTCTGTCTTCCAGTCGAACAAACCAGAGTGTGATTTCAGGGCAAGGCGTTTTCTGCCGAATTAGCAAGGAAAATAAAGGTCTGGGCTTTCTCAGAAATATATTCCATTGTTGCTCGCTTTCTCTACCCCTGCTTCCAAAAGAACTCACAGCTCGTTGTCAACAGGCCTCCATGTAGGAGGGGAGAAAATGTCCAAGGATGGCTTCTCGTTCTGCTCTTTCCAAGTCATCCCCTAGTGGGACCCACTCCAGGTTCCCTCCATAGTGTTACCCACTGTCAATACCTGACGCTTATTGAAATGTAACGATTAGGATCCCTGTTTTCGTGTAGGAATGGCCAAGCATGGCAGGACGTACTACTATGTGTTGAGGCTTCACAAATGGTAATAGAGGAGGCAGGATTGGCACTCAGGAGTTCTGGCAGTTGAGACCACTGGCTTGAGGATGCGAACCAGAGTTGTCCATAACTATCGACCATGCAGGACCCCTGCCCTTGCAGAGCTCATGTCTGGGTTGGGGGAGAAAGGCCTGGTTATTAAGCACAGAACCCTGTGATAGCAGCTGTAATGGAAGGAGTAGGAAGGCACATGGAAAACCAGAAAGAAGCAGTAGGAGCTGCTAGGAAATCTGGGGTTGAAATTCACAGAGGAGGTGAAACTAGAGCTGAATTCTGAAGAGAGAATCTTTAGGAATGAAAAGGAGCAAAGCAGAGGCATGTTGGCTGTGTGACAGCATGTATGACAGTGAAGACATGTGAAAGTTCCAGAAGCTGAGCGTGGTCAGGTGACTCGGATGGGGTGTGATACATGGGTAGAATTGCTGTTAGTCATTTACACGTTAGTAGGAAGAATATGAAGGTGTTTTGAGTCAAGATTGAGGAATAAGGATGAATTGCCCCCAATGCCTTGTTACAATTTCACCAAGAGGAGAAAGTGAAGAGCCAGTGCTGGTTAAAAACAACAAAAACAATGACAAACCCATTGTCCTTCAGCTTCCTTAGCATCTCTGATGGTGGTACAGAGAAATGGCAGTGGGGCACAAAGTGAGCCTTTTTTATTTTTGGTAGTACTGGGGTTTGAACTCAGGGTCTTATGCTTTGGCACTCTAACACTTGAGCCACACCACCAGCTGCAAAGACAGCCTTTTACTCTCACCACCATCCGAGGATATACACTGAGGGATACAGGAGGTCAATCCACAGTGCGGCAGCCTCCCTGTGACTTTTGGAGGACACTATTAACACCATAAAACTAACAAGTGTCTCTTGCCGCTCCGTCCCAGGCTCCCTCATGGATATTCTGCTTCCATTCATTCACTCACTTATTCATATGGCGTAAGGATCTCAGACTCCTCTCAGCCTGCACTCGGGGCATTGGACGCACAGCAATGCACCAAGAATGCCGCTCTGTCCTCATAGTTCTTAGTGATGGGGGAAGAGATGCTAAAGGCAATTTTATAATAGTTAGAGAGGAGCAGAGAAGCAAGGCGGAGGGTAAGAGTGAAAGATGGTAAAGACTTTGGATGGCTTGGTCAGGGGAAGCCTCTCTCTGGAGATGAATTTTAAGCCTAGACCTAAATAGAGGAATTGAGTCAGGTGACATTCAGGGGTAAAAATATTCCAAATCAAGGGAAGAGTCAGAGTAAATGCCCTGACATCTCAGTTAAGTTTTTTTTATCTCCTACTATCTTCTACTATTTTCCAAGTCCTTCTCCAGAGCAGGAAATAGAAGCAAAGAAAACAGAAAAAAAAAAAAATCCTCAGTCTTCATGACACATTCCTACGATTGGGATCATGCTTACCATGTTGGAGTGATGCCAAAGATTGTGGTGTGATTGTAGGATTGGACCCAGGGCCTCATGTGTGATACCTACCACCAACTCGGGGAGAACCAACCCAGCATCTCAGGTCCTCCCTGCTACAGACTGGTGCCACACACAGGTCCATGTGTAGAAGGACTGGTCTCCAGCTTTGGGGTGCTGTTGGGAAGTGGGATCCTTTAAGAGCTGGAGCCCAGTAGAAGGAAGTTACGTCACTGAGAGTGTGCCCCTAAAGGGAATATTGTGAAGCCCTTCTCTTCGTTCTCTCTTTGCTTCCTGGCTGTCATGAAGTGAGCAGTCCTTCTCTACCACCTGCTCTTATCATGATATGCCGTGCCAGCAGAGACCCACAGTGACAGGACCAAGGGAACAACTGAAACATCTGAAACCATGAGCCAAAAATATAGTTTTTTAGCTCAAATATTTGTTATAGTGACTGAAAGCTGACTAACGTACTCTGCCAAGCTCCCTCTGGCCACAGCAAAGGAGGCAATGAACCCTTGAGGTCCCCTGTTTCTCAGCTCTGTGGCCTTCTACTTAATAGACACAACTCAATACAGCAGAGCCCTGAGACAGGAGAAGACTCAAAACTTCCGCAGTCACTAAATACAAATTCTGGTCTGGTCTGAGTTGGTATAAACTTACTAGAGAACCCACTTGATCAAAGCTTCTTCAGGTCCCTTCCAGGCCATGGGGTTGACTGGTTCCACTACCCTCCTGGCCTTTAGTCACTGGCAGAACTGGGAGGAATTTTGCCTTCCAACATGGTGGGGTCAGTTGGACCTGAGCCCTTGAAGACTGTAGCCAGTCTCTGGGTCAGTTATTTAACCCTCTTGTGTACAATGGGATAATGAACTTCAACTTTAATGCTTGCTGGAAGACTGATAGGTTAGTACCTAAAGTACCTATTAGTGCCTCTCTGAAGTGTAGTCGGTGTTCAACACAAGTGACCACCTCAAATCCGCAGCGTAAGACTGTAATGTGGAGGGAGGTGAAATATTTACTAACGAAAACTCTACCTGAAGGAGAAGAGAACCCTTGGTCTGGATGCTCACAAGCCCCTTCTACCTCTGATCCTCCTGATTTTCTTCACTTGGTGAAAGAGGAGTGACATTCATGGTCTTCAGATGTGAGCCAAACTTGAATGTGAACATAATCCATCATTCCCTTCCATGTCCTTACAGAGAGAACTTTCTGGAAGTTAACACTCCCATCATAATCACATCCTGAGGGGATATTTTAAGATGACAGTGAAGAAGAAAAGAAATAATGACACCACAGACTTTATTTTGGCTTCTGTCTACTTTGCCACTCTATAATTTTTCCATGAGGATTTTTCAGATATAAAGTAGTTTTTGTGTGTGTGCATGCTCCTTGAGATATGACTCCCCTTGATTGCAAGAGATAGGAAGTTTTTAGGTAGGCAAGAGGCACTGACGGGTGGCATATCTACATCCCTTGAAACCACTTGAAAGTGGGAAAGTCTCTCTTCCCTTACAAACCCACATCTCAGCAGAGGGAGGGCCTCTTTCCTCGGGCACCCCTGGCTCTGTGTGGTAACTCAATCACTAGTGCAGACTTGAATCACTGGAATCCAGCACATCTCACCTGGCCTCCTTCCCATCCACCTTCTTCCCCAAACTCCCTCTTAAATTGCTTTTGGCAGAACAAGCAAGATATACCAAAGCTTTGGGGCTTACCTTGAAATGTCTCCTTCAAAAATATGTCATGCAAGAAAATACTAGGTGCCATCTAAGTAAGGAATCATAATGGCAAGGAGGGAGAAGAGTCTACAGTGGGGCCAGTTTGGAACATGGAAGGTTTGAGCTGGATTATCCAGTTTTCATAACATAGTTGGAAATACAGATGATAACATAGCACAGATGAAGTCTACCACTTCCACCACCACAGTACTGGCACTTAGTGTGTAGCTGGCACATGGTACATCTTCCCTAAATATTGGTTGAGTGAATAAAAGAGAAGAGAAATCATGGTGAGAACAAAGATTGTGGCCTTCAGGGTAAAGAAAACAGGTTTGAGTTTCCAGTTGTGTGACTTGGAAAGTGTTATTTCATCCCACTTCCCCATCTAAAAAATGGATCTAGAAGTGTGTGCCCAATAATTAGTGTCTAAAGAGTTTTGTTATAAGTGAGTGAATAAACGGGCCAATTACTGAAGAGAGGAGATGAGAAGGCGATTTTCTAGGAAAACTCCATAGGCTCAAGCAAGCATGGCTACCTTGTGAAACATCTTGGCTGTGGCACCCTCTGCCTACAGGCCAGTTCTCTCCCACTGGCTCCTCCTCTTTAGCCTCCTCAGCTGCTTCCTCCTCCTCACTGCCCCTCTACTACAGCTAGAATGTTCCAGGCTTGGTCATGCTCCCTGGGTCATTTCTTCTTGGTCACTTTTATGTACCATCCACATACTGATGGCTGCCACACTCATATCTCCAGTCAGCCTCAGTCTTGACCTCCAACAGTTCATCTGGAGTCTTAAACCTTGCATGTGCAAAACTCACTTCTGATCGTCCCCCCAAATTCCTGCTCCTCCCCCACTCAGTTCACAGTGACTCCACCCTTCCAGTCACTCAGATCAGAAGCCTTCCGGCGTCCTCTGTGGCTCTTCTCGTGCTGTGTATCCAATTCACCAACTCATCCTGCCTTCTCCACCTTCAAACCATGTTACAACGCACAGGACATGACAGCCACCACAGTCAGATCACACCCAAGGCTCTTTTCCCAGATTACTGCAATAGTGTTCCTCCTTCTGGCATTGTCCCTTGCAGTCTATTCTAGCACAGCAAATCTTCTGCTTTGGTCACTTTTCACTTCAATGGTTCATCATCTCAGAGTCATCACCAAAAATTCTTGCAATTCTTACAAAACTATGTGACCCAGCTCCCCTCACTTTGATCTTACCTTTTTGATC